TAGTGGGAGGTGTCCCTGCCCATGGCAGGGGGTGGCACTGGATGGGCTTTAAGGTCCCCTCCAACCCAAACCTTTCTGGGATTCTGTGCTGTTCTGCTTGGAAAGAAGCTGGTGTTGATTCTGACAGACCAGTAAGAGTGAAGTTTTGCTCCACCAATAATCTATGAGAAAGTGCTAAAATGCAGAATTAAGAATAAATTTTAAACACAGGGCAGCACCCACCCAAGAACATTAAGAATTGACTAAAGATCCTCTTGGGTTGGTAGTTTTTTATTTGTTTCTTGAGACATTCCAGAGGCCTGTAACAAAGACAAGCCCCACACCAACAGCTGGCCCTGGACCACCTGCCCAGCCCAGCTGCAGTCGTCAGCAGTTCCCTCGGCTGGGCACAGGAGGCAGAAGTGACCCATGGGAAGGCTCCAAAGTTCTGGAGGGGGATAAGTGAAACTGAACCAGACTCTCACCGCTCAGATGCCTCTGAGGCAGCGCGGGCTGCCTGGCTCCCTGGACACAGCGCACTGCCTGAGCAGGGATGGAGCCAGGGCTCCAGGGCATGTTCAGTCTGGGTCGTTTTTGTAAAAGTGGCATTTGCAGCTACATAAGAAGAAATTAAATCACAGAATCAAAGAATAATTGCAGTCAGGATAGGCAATCTGGTGGTCTGTAATCCTGCTCAGAGGAGATCCAGTTTGGATGGGGTTTCTCAGGACCCTGTTCCATCTCCAAGTATGGGGATCCTGTGACTTCAAGCCCCTGAGTTGCTCCAGCTGCAGAGCAGGTCTGAATGCCTGTCACCAGCTGCTGTTGGGCACCACCTTTTTCTGCAGGAAATCTCTGCACTGTGGTAGCGACTGCTGAACTGCAGGAAACCCTCTCTTGGGTGCTGCAAGCACCAAACCCTGTGGAGGGAGGACACATCTCAGGTGAGGGAGGATGCAGAAACTTGACAGCACACCCTCCTCGAGAGATAAACCTGCTGCCTGCCCCCAGCATTTCACAGAGGCACAGGAAAGGTGAACAAGGTTGCTCAGGGTGGGAACTGGAGACAGCAGAAGTGAGGACGTGTAGAAAAGTCCTCTTTGCTCCCTGCAGTGTTCCAGCACAGCCAAGCCCCCTCTGCCACCACTCTTTAGGGCAGGTCGCTGTTCTGTAGTGAGGACAAGACAAAGTCTCAGTGCTTTCAGTCACCAGAGCTGTCACCATGTCACACAGCTGTGCCAGTCATTGGTGAACCGCTGCAGGTGCAGAGTTCCCACCACAGCACAGTTCCTCAGTGAACACCCCAGCTCCTGCTCAGCCACCAGACAAACTTGTTGCCTCTTTCAGGCAAACCAAGACCTCTCTGCGGTTGGTCTGCGTGTCTGGCTTTTGAGCAGCATGTGACCCTGGGTCTGCTTGCTGTGGGTGATGCTGAGCTTCACACCACCCTCATTGCATCCACCCCCCCTCTGAGTTCGCAAAGCCCCGCTCGGGCTCCAGCACGCACCCACAGAGGGCTCAGGAGCTCCAATACGCTGTACTCTGTGTCTGCCTTGCAAACACCCACCTGCTTCACAGGACTGTGGGGTGTCTACCAGCCACAGTCACCTTCCAGCACATGGCAGGGAGCAGAGCTGAGGGTGACAGTGCAGCATTCCAGACTGTGACTGCCCAGGCAGGGGCCTGAGGCAAGGAGCTGGACTGCTGATGAAATCTTGTATCTTTATTTAGCACCTCAAACATCAGTTCTCATTTCTGGCTTCTCCTGAGAATCTTTGGGAGCAGCCAGTTAGGGCACAGTGAGGTAGTAGGAGAACGGTGTATATTTACAATAAATGGTCTAGAAAAAGCAAGAATCAGGGCTTTACTGGAATCTGGTTTACCCCCTAAAGAAGTAGTGGATACCAACGGCAGGCCTGTTCCAGTCTTTCCAACAGTGGGCTGAAACCGCAGCAGGTCCCAAGATCAGCACAAACCCACAGTGCCTCAAAGATGCTCAGTGAAGAGCAAGCACAAGTCACAGGGGTCCCACGACCTCTTCTCCAGCACTGCTGCCTGTAAGCACTGGCACAGCCTCTTCAGGGTCCAGGTGAATTCTGGCTTCCCCTCCTAGAAAACATTTTAAAGTTCTGCATGTCAGCATCTTGCTCCTTCAGTGCTCTCTTCCTCCATCCTTCCCTATTTCTGAGGGGGTTCTTTCTGTACCAAGCAGCTAAGTGAGCTGCTGTGTGCTGCAGGAAAAGAGCACAGCACAGGCTCTCAACAACACTTGCGCGGTCACCGCATGCAAAAGATCCGCAGCAGCTTCGCAGGGAGACA